TTACACATGTACAATAAATTTCTCGTTGTGTAACAAAAAAAAACATTTTTTAAATTAATTTTTATTATTCCGTCAATTGATTCATGACTTGTCTCGGACTTTAGGCGAGTGTGCAAAATTTCAGATCGATTGGACAGGTAGAAGCGTGTTGAATATCGATTATGAGATTTTTGGCAGACAGACAACAAGAAGGAAATTTAATTGAAGAGTGGTTATAAAATAATATACGATTAAAAATTACTTTTTAAAGATAACACTTCTAAAGAATCCAGTGTCTCCAATCTTACAGATGTACAATGAATTTTTACTTTTATTTTCGAATATTAAAAAAATTACTTTTCCAGTTTTTTTAATATATGAAATTTTTTAATATATAAAATTTGTTACAAAATTATTTATTCTGTCAATTGATTCATGCATTGCCTCCGACTTCACACAAGTGTGCAAAATTTCAGATCAATTGGACAGGTAAAGTGTGTCATATATCAGTTATAAGATTTGTAGATGACAAAATTATTTTTTCAATTTTTTAATATTGAAAAAAAAAAATATTGTAAAATCATTCATTTTAACATTTGATTCATGCATTGTCTCCAACTTTACACAAGTGGGCGAAATTTCATATTGATAGGATAAGTAGAAGTGTGTTAAATTTTGATAATAAGATTTGTAGCAGACAGACAGAAAAACAAGAAGTGAAGTTAAAGAGAAGTCTTGTAATAGTCTACTTTCTGTGCATGTTTTTACTTTAATTTTTCAATATGAAGTTTTTAATGCTACCACGGACCTGTCCGGGTTTTAGTAACTTGGTGTGGGTCCGGGTTTTAGTCGGTACCCTGGCCGTGGCCAGCTGGCCTCAAGGTCAGGGCCTCAGGGGAGTGTAGCCGGTGTCTATGTAGCTACCTTAGTCTGTTGTGTGTATCACCAATTTTGTGCACCAAACAACCCTAAATAGAACGCCCCGCAGATTTCCGTAAAGCCGCCAATCAGCCGCGTATTTATCCTGACCGTGCGTGACGCCAGTAACCATCTCATCACTTACTTCTCAATTCTCATGACATCATCTTGTTTTACATATCAGATATCACGAGCTCTATGCCACCATATTCTGAAGCGAAAAACCAGAGCTGGGCAGCGCTACTTTGAAATGTAGCGGCCGATACCGCTATATACTCTAAATGTAGCGGGCACTACCGCTACTGTCGCTACACCCTAGTCTGGAAAAGTCCTATTTTTGTCTGAAATATCGCGGCTCTAATATCATATAATTTCAGTAGGTATGAAATCTCGCGGCTCGAATGTCATAAATTTTTGTTTGATTAAAAAATCGCGGTTTGCACTTCGCAAACATGTCATTTCATAAAATTTTCAACTTCCGCAATCCGCATTGCTTTACTGTTTCCGCCAAAAATATCTTGCAGAAAAAACATAAACATCGTAATGTAAACAAATAAACAAAACGTTTGTTGAAGATTGCGCATAGTTGCGGTCATGTCAAAGCGGTCAGACTGTATATTAACACGTGCTGAACTTACAGTAGAGACAAATTTTATTGTTGCCGTTTGACTGTTTAAGGGTAAAATTAGAGATTTGGGGTAACACGTGCATAAACTTTGTAAATAAATTTGCATTTGCACCTCGTAAATGGCTTTTCATGGCCGAGATATGGAATTCACGGCTCGGTGAAATAGAATCACGGCTCGTAGAAATGGAATCACGGCTGGCAAATCCATAAAACCACGGCTCGAAAAATTCAGTCGCAGCTCGCCAAGTAGATATATTCCATACTAGGCTACACCCACTAGATTGTATTGTAGCATTTGTAGGTATCATTGTAGCGGTAAGCGCTAAGCGGGCGCTACCGCTACTGCGCTACAGTTAAATGTAGTGCCAGGCTGCCGGCTGTACCGCTACATAAGATTACCGTAGCCGCTACAATGGCCAAAATTATTGGAAATCTTTAAATATATTTTGCTCCGCTATTGGGATTTACTCAAATTAAATACTCATAAACATTTAATGATAATAAAACATTTTCAAAACATATGAATGAAACTTTAGGTATTGCAATTAACCTAACAGGCTAACCAAAATAGTACGGGTTAGATACAGTAAATAAAAGTTAGTTATTTTAATGTTTTACCTTCCCTACAGGTTATATGGAATATGGATGATACCTAATGGATCATGGATGTCTACTCTAATGAATCTACCAATCTAAAAAATTATCCACTTAAAAATAATAATAATAGCGGTTTTGGCATTTATTAGGCCATAGGCCTGTCGCCGATTCTTAACATCGCAGAACATCCACAGCTTTCTGCGGTCTCGAACTCACAACTCACTGATTCAATATTCTGCTGTGCTTAACCGCCCGCCGCCCGGCCTCCTTGCCGACAGGGTGGAATTCTAGAAATGGAGGTTCACTTATAAAAAAGCTTTCCACCCAAGGTAGAATGCTTTCCTTAGATGCAGTGCTCTGCCAGGTGACTGACTATAAATGAAAAGGAGGATCAAAAGTGGACAAACTGTTTCAGTTGTATAGTACCTCAGATTTGTTATAAAATTGTTTGAATGTCTCTTGTTTGATAGATATTCTCTATTTTCTTTTATTTAATGGATTTTTTGAAAATTTTCCAGGCTTTTTGTTTGTAATGATCAAGTTTAAGTTAAGTATCTAGTTAACCAGTATGAGTACTGTAGTACATATACCATGTTTGGGGGCGGGGCTTATGGGCACAACCAATCACAGCTGGAAAGCATCCCCATCAACCAATCACAGCTTGAAAGCATCCCCAGCAACCAATCACAGCTAGAAAGCAGATAACATTACAACTCCATTAACCAATCACAGCTGGAAAGCTGGAAGGGGCTAAAATCACAATCCCATAAACCAATCACAGTTGAAAAGTGATAGGATATGTATAATGTATATAAGACAATGGACTGGAAGTGGAAAGTTTCTGGACTTTCCAACCTTTCAGGTCCTGCTTTCCAATATGCTATGTGTACTGGTTAATTTAATATCCCTCTAGAATTCCACACTGCTTGCCGATTCTGACCAGAAACTGGCGCACAGAGCTGGGATCAAACCCGCACTTCTCTGCGTCAATCTTGATACTCTGAACTGTAACCACTGGGCCACCCTGCCATACTTATACATATAAAAAATCAGTCTTTTATTTGTATGTATATGTGGATAATTTTCGAGATTGGTAGATTAAAGTAGATTAGTAGACATGATAAGACATCCATAAAGGGAAGGTGAAACCGTGAAACATAAAAAAAACTGTAAGCAAACTGAAGTTAGGTGGCTGATGTCTGTGATGTGGTTGTGGTTCTTTGTGGTTGTGGACATGTGGTGGCAGCTGGCATGGAACAAGAACAAGTGGTAACTTGTAACAACTTAACAAGCAATAACTAACATGTTGACACTAGTAACAGGCTGAGGTTGACAACATTACACCGAAATCTTTTGTACAGTTTTATTCTGTAATTTATATTATGTATGTATCATGCTGGTTTTTAAATAATACTTAATACTATTAAGTAAAATCTAAAGGCTTTATCTGTAAATGTAGCGGTAGTGCTTTAGCGGCAAAACCTTGTATTGCTACAGACAGTAAGCTACTTGAATATATAGTCGGCTGTGGGCGCTACCACTACAATTGCTTAAATGTAGCGCCGCTACCGCTACTGAAAATGTAGTGCGCTACTGCCCACCTCTGCGAATAACCCAGTCGGCCACGGCCAGTCCCAGACTCCCTGGACCAGGAAGTCTGGGTTATTCGTGATTCTGGAGTGAGTGGTGGGAGGTGAAAGGTGGTAGGCCTTCCAATCCATTTTGTGATATATACGTGAGAATATATTACCTATTCAGAATTCCACCCTTCTCAACTGTTGAGAAGGGTGATGGTATGATGTATGAGAGAATAGGAGATGAATGGATTAGGATTACAATGATAGTGGGTCCATCAGCGGGAGCATGGTGGCAGGGAATTATTGTGAGTACTTATCGGTCCACCGCCGTGCGTCGGTCTTAACCCTTCGCAAGGCCCCATGCCCTTGGCCCTTGTGAAGTGTGAAAGCTTTTGCCGGTGAAGGTGTGTTTTACGATCGGTCCATAAAGGAGTGTTGATCGGTTCAAAATGACATAAGAACAGGTTCTTTTGAATAACCTATGGATTGGCACCATGAGCGGGAGTGACTGCTGCCAAGACTGAGCGTGGAAATCGATATTTGAAGAATGAGGGAGAGGAAGAGGTTAGCAACAATGAAGGCCAGAAGGATGTAAAGAAACAAATGATTATTTCAGCCTTAAGAGATACCATATCTAGTACAAACTTGAAATACTACAGTGCATTAAATGAGACATAGCAAATTAGCATTAAATGAGACCAAAAAAATTTCATCTTGAATTTCTCTAAGTCTATCCCCTGTTTTCATCTTACCCGTAACACAAACTTTCACTCCTTTCTAGCCTCTGCTTTAATTTTGCTTCTACCTGACATGGCCATGGTTTCCCTCTTCTTTCCCGCTAACAAAACAAATATGTGATGAGTGGCAGATAGCCAATGCAATGGGCTGACTCCTGAATGTCCTATTCTGAGTTACCAGGCCCCAAAACTAGGTAAATCTGGCATTGACATACTACAACAGAAGCTATATCTGTGCCTGGTGTTGGTGTGGCAGCTGTGCCATGAGTCCATGACTCACAATGAGAGCTTTGAAAATCTCATATCACGCATTAGCCATTATTTCTAATCAGCCCTTTGTTGAACAATTTTGCTCTAGTAAGTTAATCAAAGAGAAAAGTTCTGCATAAAGCTTATGATACAACTAAATTGAGAGATAGAATTACTTACAATCCTTGCCATCCTACCAGATCTAGGTATATTTTCTTAATGAATTAGAAATCTGTATACCTGTAAAAGACATTCTTATCCTTCTTTATATTTATTAATGCTATGTATTTCTTCCTTACCTTTTCTCTCATTACCTATACTCTTAAAAATGTGTTTGTCTTTCAGAAATGATTTTCTATATGGGTAAATATCAATGCATTAATTTTGCCAGAGTAGGTTTGGGGTGTTCTTTAAATAAGTTTTCTTTTAAATACTATAGCCTTTTTAATACAATTCCTCCACTGACCAAACTTTCATTTGCTTGCCCTTGCAGTGTAACTTTGTGCCCAAATTTATCCACATTTGATCCAAGATTTGTGCACACATCATCTGCCATCATGAGTAGTACTTCTGTACCTCCTCCTGCTTTGAAAACCAAAGGAATTGAAAAAAGTGTCTGGTAAGTTCTATGTTGATATTCAATTTTTATTGTTTTTTTTATTTTCATATTCTTTTTTGCATTTGTTGCCAATAAAAATTTTAATTTACAAAAATTATATATTAAATTTTATTAATTATTTAGAGGTGATTTGAGTGCATAGACTGTGGAGATGCATGATTTGTCTTGTCAAAAGTTTTCTGTGTAATTTACTGTACTAGGTATTGCATGCATGTAAAAGTTACTGGAAAAGAATTTCAAAATTTATTCTAGATTTGTATAACTTTCCAGGGTGGAATTTATCCAACTTGCTTTAGAAGCCAAACCACTTAATTTGGGTCAAGGATTTCCTGACTTTGCTGCTCCTAACAATGTCCGCAAAGCTCTGTCCAAGGTCTGCATGGATGCTGAGAATGTGCTTCTGAATCAGTACACTAGAGGCTATGTAAGTATTTTCGCTTTGTGAACCACAACTTCTTACCAAAAAGTATTCATTTTTATTGGTTTGAGCAAATAGGATATTGGTATATTTTGCCTATGGTACCTGCTACCTATCTCAATTGATTATGTGGTTACTAAGTAAAGATCTCTATATATTTATTTCCTTGCTTTTTAATTTTCTTGTGCATTGCATGTCAATGTTTTTTATTAGGGTCATCCACGCCTTGTCAATGCACTCAGCAAGCTTTACACCCAAGAGATGGGCCGGCCTATTGATGCCATGAATGAGGTCTTGGTGACTGCTGGTGCTTATGAATCTCTTTTTGTGGCTATCATGGGTGAGTACCGGTATTTAAAATGGTTTGAAATTTCATGACATAAGCTTGCTAATAATGCCAGAAATGTAGCCAATTTTTTTTTTTCAAATGATTATTCTATTCATATATGGGGGTTAGACAAAATAAGGGAAACACCTGAGAAACCTGCAAAATATATTCAAGTTTGGTGTAGGTCCACATTTTGTGGCAATAACAGCCTCAATTCTCTGAGGTATTGATGCATACAAATTGTGAATTGTTTGCAAAGCAATTTAAACCCATTCTTCAGTTGAAACTCCCTCCAGCTCTTTAAAGACAATTGCATAGGTGGTTGACTTCTGACTTGCATCTCTGAAATTGACCACAAATTCTCAATAATATTCAGGTCTGGTGATGTGGTGGCCAACTGAGATGTTCAACTACATTCAAATGTTCCTTGTGCCATTTTTTTTAACAATTTCAGCTGTATAGAATGAGGTATTATCTTCTTGAAAGATGGCGTTTTCATCCAGAAACAGTGACTGAACCATTAAATGAACTTGGTCCTCCAAAATTCCTAAATAGTCATGGCTGTTCATTCTTTCATGAAGAGAAATCATTGGTCTGCCAGATTTCCAAGAAATAGCACCCCAGATCATCACAGATCCCTCCCATATTTTACAGTTGGGAAGAGGCAGTCAGGATTAAATTACTCTTATGGCTGTCTCCAAACATAAACTTGGCCAGAGGTTGGAAATATGGTAAACAATGATTCTTCAGAGAAAGTCACATTTTTCCACTGCTTAAGGGACCAATTCTGTAGGTTTTACATCACAGGGTTTGTACCAGTCATGGAAAACCTGGTAAGTCATGGAATTTGATTTTTAATTTTCCAGGTCTGGAAAATCATTGGATTTCATTTCAGTTATGGAAAGGCATGGAATTTGCAAATGAAGGAAGAAAAAATAAGAAGTGTTTTTCTGTGCTGCGTGTTTTTACTGTTTGTGCAGTCTCTTGTTTCCTGCCTTCTGATTGGCAGGCATGATACAGGAGACTGTCCCATGGTCTCTTGTTTCATGCATTCTTATTGGTTCTCCAATCACGTGAGCTTAGGCACCAATAATCTCAGTTGCATTCATCAACTTTTTGATATGCAGTGGCAGTGTTTCATCTTCAGCATGCAATTTCTATGTCACCATGCCTGGACAGTGTAAATTCCATGACTTGTGGTTAAGAATAGAAGCTTATCGTGACTGGCTATCACACCATCCAAAGCATGAAGAATCATTGCTCAATACATTGTGCTCAAAAAACTTTGATGTGTCAAACATGGGGGAAGCAGCTTTGAAGAGCCATGCCAACATTGCAGTGAAATGAATGCACAGTTTCAAGCATTTTCAATTTCTGATCGACTGGACACTTTTTGGCATGCCATTCTGTCAAAGAGCACCTACAAGAAGCTCTGGAATGTAGTGCAGAGGCTTAATTATGCTCCTGTCTCATGAGGTTGCAAAGAGGGTTTTTGTTCAACAAGGAAATCATGACACACAACATGAAAGAGCAAATGGTGGTTTCCCTGCGTGCTGTGGTTGATCATGTGGCAAATGTTGGTGGCCTGGACAAGATGACCATCACCAAGAAGATGTGTTGCTTGCAGCTGGCAGTGCCAAAACAGCCTACAATAATTATTTGACAGAAGAGAAAGAGCAGAATGCAAAGGCCCAGAAAACCCAGAAGAGGAAGGCTCCATTAGATGAGCTAGATGAACTGAAGAAGAAGAAAAGGTGGATGGAGGAGGGCATCAAGGCGCTTGAGCAAGCAGCAGATGAATATGCAGAAGTAATGGAGAGAAAGGGTGATTTGAAAATTATTGCAAATTTCAAAGCCATGAGGCGATCTTTGAGAACAACGCAACAGGAGCTAGACACTTGAACTGAACATTAAAGAAAAAGTTGATGAAATAGCTGCCAGTCGAATGTTAGGGTAGTGGTGTTGAAGAGTGTTCTGAACTGTATTGACCAGACATTATCATGTACAATCTCGTGTGCATTTAAATTACTCAATATTTGTTATGATTTGACACTATTGAATTCATAATAATATAAGTGTGGGCATGATTTTCAGATTTGTGTCAGTTCTGTTCCTCTGTGTCTGCCTGCTCTGTGCATTTACATGTTTGCTATTTATCAATTGTAGGAGATATAGAATATGCACGGTTAGTCTCAGTCATGCTAAACCTGTCGCTGTTGTATACGAGTCTTGGAAAATTATATTGATGGTCATGGAGAGTCATGGAAGGAAAAGTCATGGAATTTTTTTTCTAAATACCGGTACAAACCCTGACACCACTCTAAATGCTTTGAAGCATTTGTATTCTAAACCAGAGGATTTCAAATTGCAGCTCTTCCATAGAATCCAGATCTGTGCAGCTCTCAGTGGACAGTCTGTACGGAAACTGGGTTCTGTATGTGTCCATTGAAACCTGCAGTCATTTTAACAGCAGTGGTCTTTTGATTGTCCTTCTTAATTCGATTCAGGTATACCAACGGTACCTACTTTTCAGACAACTTTGTATTATGGCCAGACCTGTGCTTTGCTGAGGACATTTTCCTTCCCTTTCAAAAGCAGTCAATACTTTTGAGACAGTACCTCTAGAAATGTCAAGCATTCAAGACACACCAGCATCTGTTACACGGGCACCAACAATTCGGCCTCTGAAAGACAGAGAGATTTGCCAATTATAGGTTATAGGTTAGGTTACAGACACAAAAATTTACTAAAAATATATGTGCAAGAATAAAATATCAATTAGCAGCAACCAAAAACAATAAAACATAAAAATACGTCACGTTTTCATTGTTTAAAACCTGTTCAAAAATTATGTATAAAAATGTCAGGCATTTCTGTGTCAATCCTCCTGACTTTTCTGTGTGGGCTATATTGGAGAGTAGGGTCTGCAGAACACCTCATTGTTCTTTGGATAGTTTGAAGTCTAAATTGACACGAGAATGGGACTAGATCCCTCAAGAAATGCTGCGCGTCTCCTGTGAAGCTTTACTGCGTAGATTGGAGGCCGTCATTAAAAATAAGGGTGGTCTTATTGAATAAATATGTCTGAGAATTGTTTAGGTAATTCTTGGCTACTAGCTCACCCAACAAAAAACAATGCACCTGTTTGTTTCATGGAGAAATAATAAAAAAACGTGCATTGCCATAAATATGGTGGACCCTGTATGTGTTACTTTCTACTTCTGAACTGATTGTTAGGAATAAGATCTGATGAAAAATTTTTTTAAAATTATCTTCCTAATTTAGTGATGTCACTATCAATGGCAGATAAATTTTGAAATAGAATAATATAACAACTCTGAAAAAATATGTTAACTTTTGTAATTTCTGCAGGCTATTTGTCTACCGAAAAACTAAATGAAATGATTATGAAATGCAAAATCTAGTTTAGAATCAAATAAATGAACAAAGTTTATAAGAACAAAATACTTCAAATATGTTATAATTAGAGAGAGTATTGCCATGCTCTGAAATGTGTTACCTGTACTTTCAATAATTTTTCCAGCCGGCCACTGAGAAACATTTTGCTGCATGTTTAAAGGAAGACTACTAACAGTTGCCTGTGTAACAATGTAAGGAATATTTATGACTTGTATCATTCCAGGACTTGTCAACCCTGGCGATGAAGTTGTCATCATTGAACCTTTCTTTGACTGCTACCAACCGCAAGTGAAGATGGCAGGTGGCGTCCCAGTCTTCGTTCCTCTAAGACCTGTGAGTTATTAATCCTGTCAAGAAATGCCTCTGCATTTTCCAATTAACGCGATAGCAGACCAATGTAAAATAAAATTGTATACCTGTAGCCCATTCAGAATAAGATAATGAAGCATGAATGCACCCACAAATATCAATATTGTTATTATTCACATTATAAGTTGCGAAAATTACTGAGGTTTATTTAAATAGACTTACTTAAACTTTATAAATTTAGTCTAAAGTTGGAGGCGTGACATCATCTGCTGACTGGAAGCTCGACCCAGCTGAGCTAGCAGCTGCCTTCTCAAGCAAGACTAAGGCCATCGTAGTGAATACTCCTAATAATCCTCTTGGCAAGGTTTGTATTCTAGCTCCTTCTGTTACTCATGTATAAATCATCATGTAATTTTAAGTTTGCTGAAAGGCGGACTTCCTGTAATACTTCTTATGTTGATTTATATTCACTCTATCAACATAAGAAGAAGAAGGTAGACCCAGCATTGTTATGTAGAGATTTATTATGGGTGATGATTGGGTTCATTTTTACAACACTTCTCTTTAACTTCACTTCTTGTTTGTTTGTTTGTCTGTCTGTCTGTCTGCTACAAATCTTATAGTCGATATTTAACACACTTCTACCTGTCCAATCGATCTGAAATTTTGCACAATTGCATAAAGTCAGAGACAATGCATGAATCAATTGACAGAATAAATTTGAAAATTTACAAAATTTTGATGTCTTAAAAATGTTTGAAAAATTTTTTTTCCAATATTTGAAAATAAAATTAGAAATTCATTGCACATGTGTAACATCCAAGACACTGGATTGTTCAGAAGGGTTGTCTTTAAAAAGCAATTTTTAAACGCATGTTATTATACATTACCTACTAATTTTGGTAATGAATTTACAAATGAAGACACCATATCCCCATTGCTGGATTCCAGTGCTTTTGAATTTTTCGTAGAAGAAAACTAAGAACAAAATTTAATGGCTTGCCATATTCCAGGTTTTTAGCCGAGCTGAACTAGAAATGATTGGCGATCTTTGCAAGAAGCACAACGCCATTGCCATCATGGATGAGGTGTACGAGTGGATGACTTTCACTGGCGAAGAGCATGTCAGGATGGGTCAGTTGTAATACTGGTACTGTAGCTCTCATCAGGAAATACTGCATAGGTATTTCGTGATAATTCGTGCTAAAACTCTAAAACTTGTAAATGCTGCAATTTGTGAGGAAACTTAGACTGAAATTTGTATATGCTGAGCCTCTGTAATTTGTATTTCTGCAAAATAAATTCGTATCACATAAGGTCAGGTACCATCCTTCAATGTTGGAGGCAATAATATTCAAGTTAGATCAGTGAACTTAGTTTACTGTCTCATTTGCAGGGAAGTTTCACCAAAAAAATTAGTTCTCATTTCTGAGCCTTGGTTCAGTTCATGTAATGTTCATCTTTCACCCCCGCACAAATTACTTTAAACCGGTTAATGTACTCTATTGAAGGACGAGTTCGTAGCTCATTCATCATAATCTCACTCAATGCTTGGCATTCCAGCAACACTGCCTGGGATGTGGGAACGCACCATCACCATCGGGTCTGCAGGCAAGACATTCTCTGTGACCGGCTGGAAAATTGGCTGGACCATTGGACCTTCGAACCTCTTGGCGGGACCTAAAGTCGTCCACCAACATTCAGTGTACACCTGCACCACGCCAGTACAGGTGTTTTTGCCCACCATTTCTTCAAAGTTATTGAAAAATATCAAAATATCTACATGATCTCAACCTATCATCGTCAAAATTGACTTGCAATTGAGTTAGGTCGCATGTTCATGACAGGCGACTGTGCAGAGGCAAAGATCTGCAGTTGTTATGTCTCCTACAGAAAAGCCAAAACTACCGAATGTATTTCATGCGTTCGGTTGAGTCCCAGTTTCGTTTATTTCCAAGTGTTGGTCTTTGCATCTTTTTAGTAGCCCAAGTAGCCACTGGCTGCTATCAGTTTTGATGGCTGTGGCATTCAGGGTAGGCGGTAAAAAAATGCCATCGTCTCACGTGACACCAGAGATTTCAGCTATTTTTTGAGTGGAATCGAGCTGCCTCAGATCGATGTGCAGGGATATATTATTGGTCGATTTCGGCGATGAAATACTTACTCAAGTATACGGCTGGCTTTTGGTCGACCGTAAAGCTAGTTTAATTCCTGAGTTGAAATGATATATTTCAAACAAATATTGGCATTTTGTACTTTAAACTCAAAGCCAAAAAATACTTTCATTCGCTCTAGATTCTTGAGAAAATATTATATGTAGATTTGATTCTATGAAAGAATTTGGTGTTGTCAGGAAGCTGTCGCGATTGGCTTCGAGGAGGAGATCGGGCGTCGAGACTCGCCGGATTGCTACTTCAAGTCCCTGCCAGCAGAGTTGGAGGGCAAGCGCGACCTCATGATTTCGATCCTGCAAGACAGCGGCCTGCACCCCATCGTGCCACAGGGCGGTTATTTCATACTAGCTGATGTGCGGGACATCATGACCAAGGTGGAGGTTGGCGGGGATCCCAATGAACCCAAAGACTTCCGCTTCGTCAAGTGGCTATCTAGGAGCCGCAAGCTGCAGGGCATTCCTCCTTCTGCTTTCTTCTCCGACGAGCATAAAAGCATCGGGGAAGACTACATTAGGTTCTGCTTCATAAAGGTGACGCTCATGCGACTCCTTTATTCCTTCAGCTATATGGCCTAAAAGTTGTAGTCGACCATGCCAGTGGATTGGAGTGAGGCTTCGTGTAATTTATATTTACTAATGTGTATATACAATAAGCATTAAATGAATTCCATCAAAAAATGATTAAGGCAAACAAGTGAATATTTTTGGTCGCATATTAATTGTATTGTCTTGTTCCAGGAGGATTCCAATCTCCTGAAGGCTGGTGAAATCCTGAAGAAGCTCAAGGAAGACCTTGCCGCCAAACTCTGATTGCCTTTCAAGCGTTCATATCTATTAAATTTGTGAACTACTGTCAATTGGTTAACTGCTGCACTTGCTATACGCGTTTATGGTAGCTCAATCAGTTAATTTATTGAAGCTCTTCTCGCAACAACACGCCTGTGATATGGAGAGTATTTTCCATGCAATTGTAAATGACAATTCGATATAGAAAAATTTGTATTTTTATGAAACTCTAATAAGATCCCATGAAATATTTACATTGTTGCAATTTTCTCATCCTGTTTATTTCTATACTCCCGTCATTGCAAAGTACATGTTTTTCTGAATTGCTAAAAAAGTTTGCCAGTATTTCTTACCCTATCTTCCAAATCACCCCGTCAAGGGAGACTTCTTACGTATGTCTGTCTCGACTGTCTGTGGTCTTTAGTCGGTCTGTCTGTCTGTGCTACGGGATTTCGTGTTCTTAGGGGGCTCTCAATATCTTATTGTAAGTCTCATTTATGAAGTCAAGTTGTTATGTACGCAGGTTTCTTTACTTTTATTTTCTCTGTCTCTCTCGTGCGGGTGGCCGACGTGCCGTGTAAGTAACCTCTTGTTTGAGTGTTTTAGTTCCTGTTGCTTTTCCTCTGTCATTCCTTGTCACTTCGTCTTTTCGACGTGCTGACGCTGCTTCTTTCTTACCGGCTACAGCGGGCTTGCCGCTTGAGACCTCCCGCCCCCTGTGAGTGAAGAATAATTTGAAAATTTTTCAATGATTGAGACCTTCCGTCTTGCTGGCGATCTCAACTTTTGACCTCCGTTGCACAATAGCTAGATAGCTGAAGCTGCAGTAAACCATTGCTACTACTTCCAAATGCTAGACAGAGAAGTAGATGACGAAATAACAGAAGGAAAGTCTTTGAAATTAAGGCCTAGCAAAGTGGTTTTTGCTAACATTCTACTTCTCGAGCTAATTCTGTTCTAACTTCGGCTTGTAACTAAATTCAATTTGAGTTGTACATGCTTACGTTATCCGTGAGTCATCCAATTGAAGTGCGACAACTATCACGTTAGCGTACTAAGGCGGTTCGATAGATGGGCAGGTTAAAATGACACACGTTGGCTGACAATCGGCTATTGAGCAACCGATAGTTCCGTAATTTGTTTTAAATTTGAGGGGCCGTTTTCTATTATCATATTTTGTCACTCAACTCCATCGTGTTTCCTGAAAATTTTAAACAAATTTGTTTTATATAGATATAAATTTTGTTGCTTGAACTGTGTTTTGTATATTTTATTAAAAGTTTGCTTTCTTGATTTTGAGAACTCCTGGTGCCAATTTCTTCTGGGAAAATTAATTTTTCAGGGTATTTAATTCTGTATATATGCAATATTTTCGAACGCTGGACTGTTTCATTGATTATCATCTTGAAATTAAGAATTGTAATGTTGTATGAATTCGTGTGCACATAAGCGTTTTAGGTCTTCAATTCAAGTGACTGTGACTGCCGACGAATTCGCTAGGCGCTTCGGCTGCTGAGGGACAGAAACAGGACCACTCGTAAGAGAGACCGCTTGCACGGAATATCTACCGACTTACATTCGATGCGGTAAATGGCCGTACCATTATTTTTGATCCGCATGAACTTAGCTTTATTATTGACCCCTGTACATAGCCGTATATCGCAAGCTCAGCGAATATTAGTGCAGGAAGCGTACCGATAGAAATGCTTAAACACATCGGCCTTCTGACGGACAAGGTTAATTAAAGAAGAGTTTCGGGCTTGATCTATCCTCCGTAACGATGAAATTTTGAGATCTGTTGTCTTTTTAACATTACTGAAAATTCTGTCAAACTCTTTTTAGTGCATTTTCTCATTCATGGAAAAAATGCACTATTGTGCTCGCCATGTCCGTCTGTCTGTCCGTCCGTCCGTGACCTCAAGTTTTCGTCGACGAGAAAATGCGCTCTCTGTCACTCACTGCAGTGAGTACTGAGTTAAATTTTTTGTATTGTTAAATGAAGATGCATGTTTGTGAACATGTTAGCTACCAACCGTCAGGGACTCGAGAACATCTCGAACAAATTTATGGCCGGACTCGCGACTGGTCTCCAAATTCAGTGAGCGTGGAATATCTCCCAAAGTAATGAATGTAGCTCGATGAAACTTTGTACACATATTCATTAGGGCCTAAAAATTTTCGGCACGTACCGTCATATATCTCACGAATGAAGGCGAAATTTAAAAAAAAATACGGTCTAAACATCGCCGTTAGGCCCTAATGAATATGTGTACAAAGTTTCATCGAGCTACGTTCATTACTTTGGGAGATATTCTTTGCTCACTGAATTTGGAGACCGGCCGTAAATTTGTCCGAGACGTGATACTAATGGTGTCTGCCTGAGCTGAAATGCGCTTTCCTGCCAAAAAATTTTGAGGTTGCAAACTCGCATGTCCAAATACCATTATAGAGTATAGTGTCACATATACATAACTGACTTGCCAAATTTATCCACATAGGGAGAAGACACCCACGTGAACATTTTAGCTACCGTAAAGAGCAGTTGAAAGGTTGAAACTGGTTTTTATTGCATATTGAAAGAAGTATTACTAATGGTATAGTGTACAGTATCGTATCACCAAAATATATTTTTAGAATAACCATGTTGGCTATACATGTACTGTGATGATGTACAATAGAAAACTACGTTAGAAAATAAAACGTGTTTTACTTTAGGGCCAACTAACCTAACCAATGGGTATGGATGCAATCATTCAGTGTGAAAGAATGTCTGATTAGATAAGCACAAGCGTTCAAGCTCTGCTGAACAGGCGGCATCCAATACAAGCTAAGAGGCGGCATCTCAAGTCTGCTGTGGTCGTGAATTCAATTTGAGAATATTAACTCTCGTCTCTCTACTGAAGAAAGTCAATTATCGCGAGAAAACGTGAGCTAACGATAAGTTTTGCATTTACTGACGATAACATACTGATTTACCTAATGAATGTTGATAAATTTGAACTAACATTGCCATAGTTCAACGTGTATTGACTACTAGTGGGTTTCTTTGATCAGTCAATCCAAGACGTAAGTGACAGGGAGACATTGCGTCAATGGCTGAGGCTGGCTTCCGCCAAGCGTCAAGAACCGAGTCAACTATCTTGACGACGTCAATTTGGTAAATATCTAATCATGTTTGAGAATTCTCTTATGGCTTATTATCATTTTATCATATGCACACTTGCAATGTACTGCTCAAACTTCTTAATTTTAGGATTGTATTGAATGCTAGATGGAAAGTATACAAAAATCGTACTATTTTAAAGATGTTAGTTGAAGTGGCGAAATTAACGACTGCGAGGTGCTCAAGCGCCTGCTGAAGCGTATGATAACCGAAATAAAATTTATTAATACATAATAATATCAACATTAAATTTGAATATTACTATCAAATACTTTGTTAATTTAAAATAGATTATGAATTCCATCCTTGGGCTATAATGCTGTCAACATTTTCTCAAATTTCAGCGCTTGTTGAGTTCATGCAGTTTCAATTTCCATCCGGGGTTTACAACATTTTCTCTCGTTAAAAACAATTTCCAGCCGAAAAAAAATGCAAGATCAATATGGCGTCTATAATTTCAAACGCAGATATTGCTTCTTAAATTTCCAACATTTACGAAACTATGACTAAAGTTCAAGTTTACCATTTCACTGCTTGTTCAATTATTCCGTTGGAATTACCAGTGTAACGGCTATAATGTATCTAATCCAATTGGAATGGGCATAATGAACATCAGAACATGAATATCAATTTCCCCGACTCAGGAACGATGTTCATACGTTGTCTCGTGGGATCAAGCCCATTGATCTAGGAGTTGGCTTTCCAAATTTCGACATCCCGGCAAAGGTTCGTCAAGATTTGATCGATGTCAGCGAAGAAAGCGACTACTCCGTGCATCAGTACGCCAAAGGCTTCGTAAGTCTCGCTCGGTTTTTTGCTCCAATCGACTTCACTACAGTTTGTGCACAAATTGACTGCCGTATGTAAAATGTAGAGAATTCTGTTGCAAAAATTAAGCGTCGTTCTTCCATTGCGATCGTCCTTTTCAAATAACATTGCCTGAAAGAAGCTATAGAGTAAATAAAAACTTCAATAAGGATTACGGACGATATTTGTTGCTGTATGATTAATTAGTGCCGTATTTTCACTATCTCCTACAAAATTCTTTACACAATTCATAATTTGTATCTTGTTGACGAATTGGTTTTCACTTTAGACTGTCCAGTTAGGATACTTCATACCGGGTAACATATTTGGTTTATTTTAGTTTAATTTTGTGATTCTGACTGTCCAGTTAGGAGACCGAGTAACATTTTTGGTTTATTTTAGTTTAATTTTGTGAGAATTTGTTGGAATTTGACTTCACAGGGCCATGCTCGCCTCACGACGGCTCTGTGTGAGCTGTACGGGCCGCTGTTGGGTCAGGAGCAGCTGAACTCCGCGCGCAATGTCATGATCACCTCAGGCGCTTCTGAGGCACTCTTCGTCAGCTTCATGGGTCAGTTAAATAACCATTATAAGTAAAGCGCTTCTTAATGGTATACAGAAGATTGTTGTAAGGCTTGGTGCAAGTGAAAACAAATACTAAATTTTTCCTTCGTCGAGGTGAACTAAGTCCATGTATTGCAGTTTTAAATTCGTCGTCGCAATCGTCAAAGACGAACGTTTCAAGTTTTTATTACAAGACTTCTCTTTAACTTCACTTCTTGTTTGTCTGTCTGTTTGTCTGTCTGTCTGCTACAAATCTTGTAATCTAAATTTAATACACTTCTACTTATCCTATCGATCTGAAATTTTGTACACTTGTGTAAAGTTGGAGACAATGCATGAATCTAATGTCAAAATAAAAGATTTTAAAAATTAAAAAAAAAAAATTTTTTTAATATTAAAAAAATTGAAAAAATAATTTTGTCAGCTCCTAATCTTATAACTGATATCTGACACACTTTTATCCGTCTGATTGATCTGAAATTTTACACACTTGTGTGGAGTCAGAGGCAATGCATGAATCAAATAATAGAATAAATAATTTTGAAAAAAATTATATATTAAAAATTTATATATTAAAAAAATTGAAAAATTAATAATATTCGAAAATTGAATGAGAAATTCATGGTACATCTTTAAGATTGGAGACACTGGATTCTTTGGAAGTGTTGTCTTTAAAAAGTAATTTTTAAACGTATATTATTATAACATTAAAGCAGAAGATGCTCGCAGTTCGATAGAACCCATAACATTTATTACCAACAATACATTAAAAAATAATCCTAATGCAAATGAAGGTAATAATTTATATTGTAAATGTCACCAAGGTCTGATCAACCCTGGCGATGAAGTGATTCTCATCGAGCCATTTTACGACGCATACCTGGCGCAGGTGCTGCTGGCGGCGGGAACGCCGGTGTTCGTGCCGCTCAGACCCGTGAGTTGCAGCTCGAGGTCTTCTTATAGACGCTGTCTTGGGCCAGAATATCTAAACTCAAAAGTACGCGTAGCGGACTAAGTATACGTAGCGGCCCAAGTACACGTAGCGGCTAGACATTCGTGAGGTTCGGCTGAAGTTGTTCTCTGATGGAGGTTTCATCGAAGACCTGAGAATATTTCATATTAACAATTTTCTTATTGTTTTTCTCTATTCGGCGAATTAGTTTTTTGGTAGAACTAGAAAATTCTAATATAAGGTTTCAAAAGGACCTTTTATTATATTATTATACGTGTAATTTACGACGTTTCGAATGCAACTACATTCTTTATCAAGTAGGGGAAGGGTTTTGCAACACTTGAATTGGAAATTTTGAAAAGATGTAAGGGTCTCACTATAAACTACTGGAGAGGCCGGAATACACGTAGCGGCTTGAGTACACATAGCGGCCTGGGTACACATAGCGGCCCAGTACACGTTGCGGCCTAAGTACACGTATCCTACGGGCTGTGTTTCTCTTCTATGATTGATATCTGTGATCTTATAGCTGATATCTTTATCAATATTAGGTTCATATTTCAATGTAAATAATAATAAAATTTCAATGGTGTTAAAATAATTTGCGCTTCAAATGTTTGGGAAATGGACCCCAACTTACGTAATTTCTGTGGACTCCTAGCAGGGACTTCCTGACCAATTCACCTATTTTAACTCTTCTAATTGTTGTAATTAAATAAACTTAACGTTGTTAACTTGCATTACAGCAATGCATTTGCAAGGAAAAAATGAGTGTATTCGTAATTGTTTGCCTTGAGTGTGCCTGTAGAGTTTGCCTTGTGCTTGTAGAGTTTGCCTTGTGCTTGTAGAGTTTGCCTTGTGCTTGTAGAGTTTGCCTTGTGCCTGTAGAGCTCAGACCGCAGCAACTCCTCGGCCGACTGGACGCTGGACGCAGCCGAGCTGGAGGCCGCCTTCTCGCCCAAGACGAAAGTCCTCGTTCTGAATACCCCCAACAACCCTACCGGAAAGGTTCGTGTTTACTGTTCATTACTGATTGTTCTTTGGAAAGGATCATTTTCTAACACGAAGAATTTTTAACTCGCTTTCTAGGGACAATCAAGTATCTGGAAATTTTAGCTTTTAGATTTCTAGCTTATTAAAGTTTGCTCTGACTCGACTACCTCAATTCTTCGTAGATAAAAGAAGGAAATTTGTGTTTCTATGCCAATTTTATTTCCAGCAAATAACCTGCAAGTATTCAATTTATTGACTGTGTTGTCAAGTAAAACTTTTTTGATAACTAGGAGTGCTTCGAGTGCCAGGAGTGCCAGTGTTACTGAAAGAAGACTTTCACAGCTTGATGCGATAGGTTATGACATTCCAGTGAATAAACTATTCAGATTAGCGAAAAATTTATGTTGGGATTTTTCAATTAAATCATAATCTTTACATAAATAACTTAGTAAACTTACACCTACGTTTGAATTTGTTCATGCGAATTCTAGACAGCCGCTGACCATGAAATGCATAATGAATTCAGCCTTTAACCTGCTAGGTCTTCAGCCGCCCCGAGTTGGAAATGATTGCCGGTCTGTGCAGAGAACGCGGAGTGGCCGTCATCAGTGACGAAGTCTATGAATGGATTGTTCATGACGAGCTCAGCCACGTCCGCATTGGTGAGAAGAAAATAGACGAATAATTTCTACTGCAGCAACACATAGTTTGGCTCGAACGAGAGAAATTTTCCCTTGCAAAATTATTCTCACTTTTGTACTGTTGTCAACGCAAACGCGACATACGTTGTCTGCGTTGGGTTGGCATAGTATAGTATAGTATAGTATAGTATCTTCGGCATTAAAGAATAGGCCTGGATAGGCCTGTCGCCGAGGCCTGGATAGGCCTGTTGGTTAGTATAGCAATAATCTACTTTGAAGTGGATATGGAGATGATCACTTTTTTCTGAAGATAAAAACGAAGTGCAGGATGCGGTCTTGTGGGATGTCTTAAGTAACATTAATACAGCGATTAAGTACATTTATGGAAGTATAATAAAGTTTGTGCAGAGGTAGCATAGGGATGTCGCCTTCTTGCACAGGAATGTTGAGACATACTATTGCGGACCAAAACCACCATATGATCATACAGTCTTAGTAAACGCAGGTGCAGTAGTTTCAACTTTTTTGCAAACTGTCTCCTCCTGTTCACAGTTCACTAGCTCTTGGTGCGTTGCATTATGTACCAAGACCAGGGGCCATACTTTCAAAAAAAGTTAAGGGATCGTAAGTTCATCAGCCAATCATTGACGGCCTTTCAAGCAAAATCCACCAATCATAGACAAGAAAATAGATCGTAAGTACTTACGTACACTTAGCGAGTTTTGAAAGTATGGCCCCTGCCTAGTAAACTTGAACCTGTCGCAGCCTCCCTGCCGGGCATGTGGGAACGCACCATCACCATCGGCTCAGCGGGTAAGGTCTTCTCAGCGACAGGCTGGAGGATTGGCTGGGCTATTGCACCTGCTGAGCTCCTCAATGGACCAAGATATGTACTCCAACTATCTGGCTATATCGTCTGCACGCCTATACAAGTACTAATTCGCTGCTGTATTCCTAACTTCATGTATCCCGTGTTCGAAACGCTCCACCCGTGATAATTTTATGCCAATTTTCGTATCAGCAAACTAACATTATGTACCTGCAGATTAATTAGTTCAAAATTAAATGAACAATATGTCACTACGATGACAGAACCAAATTCATTATAGTCAAATCGAATCAAATATAAAAGTCATGGTAAATTAAAAATGTAAAATTTTATAATATTTAATATTATATAAAAATGTAGGATTACTATATCAACATCTATTTTATTGTAAGAATCATTATATTTATTTACTTCAGCTTCAAATACAATTGTAACATGGAAAAAATCTCAACGTGTATTCACGCAGAACACACGTGCGTTGCGGGTTGCTAACTCAATGCTTCTACTGCCACCACAGGAAGCTTTAGCGCGCAGCTTCGAGCGCGAGACCGCACTGCTCAGGCAACAGTCGCCAGAGTGTCACTTCAAGTCAATGCAGCGCAAGTGTCAGCAGAAACGAAATCAATTAGCGGCCGCCCTGAAGAGCGTTGGTCTCCACCCCATCGTGCCTGAGGGAGGGTATTTCATGCTCGCAGACATACGGGAGATAATGGCTAAACTCGATCTGTGCAGTGACTCTAGCGAAGTTAAAGACGTCCGCTTCATGAAATGGCTTCTGCAGCAGCACGGGCTGCTCGCTATCCCGCCCTCCCACTTCTACTCCGCACAACACAGGAGCATTGGAGAGAACTACATTAGGTTCTGCTTCTTCAAGGTAGCATTTACATTTCTACCAGTGACTAAACTCATTTTTCATCTAGGTTAATAGCAGTAAATTATCGCTATAGTTTCCATAACCGAATACTCAATACTCATGGATTAGCACCTTTTGTATGGAACAATAACTTAACAATATGAACTAGATGCGCTCCCATGTTGATTGCTTTGAATAATTGTATGTACTTTGGCAGGGTATTCTGTTATGGCAGAAATTAAAGTTAGTCAATATTCGCTTCAAAGATTTAAGACAATCTGATGATTTTACAGAATTTTTTCCACTAAAATTGGTCGCGACGTACTATTCTGTCTAGCCAAGCTTATAAATTATTTTATTTCAAATGTATTCCTTCAAAATTTTTCTTATTATACAAGTTAACGAATACGATGTTTGTTTGTATCTTACAGGACGATGCAACTTTGGATCAAGCTATTAAAGTTCTGCAGAAGATGGCCCAGGAAACTTTTTGAAACTACGAACGTCTCCTTTAATTCCGAAATACATTCTTAGTGCGCCAATGAGAAAACATACTTGTTTTCTTGCTCAATATTTTTACCGATATGTTCTGGCAACGATTACCGCAGGCAAATGCAGATCCTGATTTACAGTAGAATAAATGACAGCATATATTTATGAATGACACAGCAATTATTTTTAAGCACATTATTTAAAGTTAGGTATATTTCACTCGAAGTTTTCGGTGTTAATTGCAACAAAGACTCAATTATTTGGTATATTCTAAGTTTTATTGTTATCTGTTGTTTATTTCAGAAATTAATTTAATAAATATCTCACGATTAATTTGCTTTCTGATCACAATTATAAAACGTAAGTTTATCAGATCGTTAAATGCATCCTGAGAAGAGTTTTCTCGTGAATGCAATTCAGTCAACGAAGGTTTGGTCGATACCAAAGTAACTGTTGGTTAATACTAATAATAATAATATCTAATAATAATATCTATAATACTAATAAATAATAATATCTAACAAACGTAAGTTTGTTAGATCGTTAAATGCATCCTGAGAAGAGTTAGCTCGTGAATGCAATTCAGTCAAGGAAGGTTTGATCGATACCAAAATGATTGTTGGTTCAACCGACGCGAGGCGATGCTTGGTCGATCCTGCTTTCTACTGCTGCTGCCAGCAACGTGTCATCCTGTGCCACGACGTTCGCTCGTCTTGACGATCCAGCTGAGGCTGTGTGCGAAAAATAATCATTTACATCGTTACTGGAAGAATTTTACTTTACGTTAATATAAATATGAAGAACTACATGCGTCTGTTGACGTATGTGGCGCTGACTTTTTAATTATTCTGAATTTTCCTTAACAGTGTGCTTCTACTTTTAGTTCAATCAGATTTCAATGCGGTCCAAAAAATGGCATATATAGACAATCGTGACATATATACATAATGTTTTAACATGAAAAATTGGACTCGAACATCCATGAATGTTTACAATAGTGTAACATTCTACTTGCGTTTTAAATAAACTCGTACGTTAAATGCAAGGCACTCGTATAGTTTCAAGCTTGTACACAAGCCAAAAAACGTGCCATATTTTCATAGTGCAGAAGAGGATTCGAATTATTTGAATAATCTTTTTGCGTCGCCAGAGCCTTTCTACGTGAATCATCCAGCACATGCTGACGTTTCAACCATTGTTCTTCAATCTAGTCGTATTAGTGAGGAATTTGCTCATATGAGGCAATCCCTACAATCCGTGCGACTACTGACTTATAATTGCCGCAGGCTACAGAAGATCCTGATTTACATTAGAATAAATAGCAGCATACACTGCAATTACATACCTGATAAATAAATTAAATAAATAAATAAATTACATACTCTGAAAGAAATGAGTGGGTTCGGACGAGCCACTATTTGATGAAGGCGACAGACCTGCGGACACCGTGAAGACCGGTGGTGGTGTAGTCGCGGCCACTTCAGGGCCGGCCGCCTGTGGTAACACTTTAGGAGAGTTCATCTTCAGTGACGCGTGAAGTGGAGTTTTCGGTCGACTTCGCAGACGGCGTTTACAAAAGTTGGTCCTACAAATAAAGAGTGGGAAAGTGCTTATTGAGAAACTGCCCATTTTTCCATTGCCAAGTAATATTTTTCTTGCAGTAACTTTGAAATAATTCACCCAATCTTTGTTCCTACTTTCACTCATTGTATACAGTTGTTTGTTTCCTTATTAACTGTTCTCAATGCTATTCATATTTTAGGGCCTGATAACCCTATTTACAAAGTTTTACTCCGCCGCAATTATTATAATTTTTCTTATTCCGTTCTACGGTCAGATATAGTATAGAAATTACAGTATCAGATAACTGATAACAGGAGCACACCCCAAACTCGTTACCTGTAGAGTAATACTTTATAATTATTCTGAATAAATCATATTTGCTCTTAAATACTTACACAGCGAATCCTTTGTACCAGATGAACAAGTTGATGGGCGTCCAGACAATGCAGACAAGGATCAGAGGCAGCGACGAGAAATGGTCAGTACCGCAGAAACAGGCTTGCAGGTCTGGGACGTAATCGCAACCTCTGTCGTGACCGAGGCGCAATGAGAAACAAAATTTTCGTAATGTCATTGGGAAGAAATTAAGGATGAATTATTGTAATAAAATTATCCATTTTATATCCATTATAATTCACAATTTTATAATGTGTTATTTCATTTCAGGCTAGCGTTTTTATCCCCTTGAACAATGGAAATCAGTTAGCTTCAAAACAATTAAAAGCGTCTGTAATGATGATGTGCTGGATGTTATCTAACAATGGAAAGAGATGCAATGCGTCAAGAAGATAAACTCAATTTGCTTAAAACGTAAGAATAGCCTGTGTAGTGCATTCTAGCTTCTTATCTAATGGTTTTAGTATTTCAAAAGGCTGATCGGTGCATTTACTGAACAAGAGACGATACTGAACCTAAGAATAAATGATCCTCAATTCGACCAAATGGAACAAAAAACTTAGAATATTATCGTTTTCAGAAATTGAACATTTATATGTATTATGTATAATTTGATTCATCATTTAACGTTGATACTTAACATTTTGGTTGCTGATGGCTGTACTAATGCTGAACACTAATAATTAGTTCATATATGTTGACTACTAACTCTGGACATTTGCATTGGTCGTTTGAACATTCCAGGCCATCGAGGCAGGCCGTGGTCGGCGAGCAGAAGCCCCCGACGCTCGAGCCTGCACCAGCAAACAGTAATTAAACCTATACTGGGACTAATTCTTTACGTAACTACATATTATTTAGTATGGAAAACAGGTGGATTTTACCATTTTCATTAGTACCGTTCATTCGGTAAAAATATTTTGTAGTTTGTCTGCCTTAACTGGAACTAACCGTCTACGTGACTAAATTTTATTTGGTGTGAAAAGCAGATTAATTTTTGCATTTATATTGACATTATTAATTTGGTCAATAATCTTTTTGGTTGCCTGCGTAACCACTGCATGAATTTCAGACGCAGCTCGGAAAATGAATATTAGTTGATTTTTTACTTTTTTTCTTGCTATTAATTGTTAACAAGTCCAAACATAAAACTATTATAGTTTTCATCTAAATTGTTGCCGACTGAGAATGCATATATATTTATATATGAATATCTATGATTAGGCTGAAGTTTGTTATTTAATAAACCTTGATTTCTATCATAGTACTTCAGTACTGCAAGTATTATTCCAATATATTTATCCTAATTATACCCTGTATTGGCAGAACTGGATATGTAAGCGAATGCATCACGTGCGCGCTACTCTCTGAGTCTATACCTTCGACCGCCCTGCGACGACGTATGGTCGGCAGCGCCTGGCACGTCCTGGTGGTGGTGTTGAAGTAGTAATCTCTGTTGGAGCGTGCGGTAATGAATACATTATGGCTATGACTAAAGTCAGTTTCATCTCTCCAATGCCGCGCCGGAGATTATAAAAATGTATTCATCAACGAGCAATTTCTATGTTAACATATGATTGACCAATTTAGGAGTATCTGATAAATCCCAACACTCCTACTCTTCTCACACTAATACTCCCCACTCCTCACACTCCTACTTTCCACTCACTTCTCACACTCGTACTTTCCACTCACTTCTCACACTCCTACTCCCCACTCACTTCTCACACTCCTACCCCCACTCACTTCTCACACTCCTACTCTTCTCGCACTCCTACCCCCCCACTCACTTCTCACACTCCTACTCCCCACTCATGGTTGAACTAGTATAAGGTTGACCAATCAAAAGCCCACTTTTGCGGATATAGTTCGTTGTTCGCCTGTGACGTCTCTGATCTCAGTGACGTCACGGGCATTAACCAATCACCGAAATGCGATCAAACCAGTTAACCAAACCGTCATGGAAATGACGGGTTTGTTTACGTTTCTCGTTCTACGTGACGTAACAAGAAAGCTTAACTGAAAGACGGAACTTCTCGTGGGTCAACCTTATATAGTTCAACCATGCTCCCCACTCACTTCTCACACTCCTACCCCCCACTCACTTCTCGCATGGACAGCGCAGGTCTTCACACGGGCGCCCCTCCGTGGCACCGTCTGCGGTAGACGCGCCCGCTGCCATGCACCCGTCGACGTCGCAAGGCGTCTCTCCATCTTGTTGGAAATATCATTAATAATTTGCATCAATTTCAAAGCTTCACTCGTTATTGTTAGCGCAATATTTTATACAACGCGGAACTTGCTAAACCTGGTGTTCGAAAACTGGTTGAATAATGAAATCTACAATGACCGTCAATTATTTTGAGCGTCATAATGCATCACCATTCACACAAATGTTGTACAGTGCAATCGTGTAATTTCATGTTCTTCATTCGCTTTTAAAAAATTATTGTACATAACAGTATAGTTTTCATGTTATTCAATCAAGAGTAGCGTATATTTCGCGAATTTATCATGATCGAAAAAAAGGAAACGCATCTAATTTATGCTGTTTTCTTATAATAATGTCGTTCGTAGATATTTATCCTTCAAGTCAGGACATTCCGTATCTTATAAATCTGTTTATTGGAGTTAAATTTAGTTGAAATTCCTTCAGAAGTTCAGATGAAGAGGCTCCTCTTTTTAAAAAATATTACAAGACACATTTTAGTCAATAAAAACTGGCAAGGAAATAATTTTGTTTTTATCCATGACTAGACACACGACAGAATTAATAGTTATGTGTGATCACGTTTGTAATTGTACTTTTGCCCTCTTAATATAACACCTTCATTTTTTGTTTGCGAGAATCAGGCTAATTTGAAGCCATTTGCTGAAAAACTTGAAAATTTTGTGCATTGAAGCTCAATTTAAAAAGAAATCGTCTTATTTTTAAGTGTCCTGCATGCGTACGAACTTTCCTCTACCCACCTGCCAAACTGCCGGCGATGAATCCTATTATGATCAACCAACAATGAATGACAAGTAGCATTTTGAGTTCACTATTCACTAAATGTGTACACGTTCACTAAGTCTGAACTTGGTGAACTCACTCTAGTACGACGTATGAGTACAAGTTGCCATTGGTAACCATCGAACAACAAACATACTTCTGACAAAAATTTTAGATGTGATTTGAGAAATAAAGAAATGAAGCAAATCAATTATATTAACGTAAAAATGTATGTTTTGGAGGTTGTGACTTTCTATGAATGGAAAGGTGTTCTGCTGAGAAGCTCTAAATTATTGGCTATTGCTTCGAACGTTGCGATGTAAATGAAGCAAAAAAATCGTTTATAGTGAGGTAGTATTTGATAAATAAAAATAAAATTTTGTTAAATATTATGCTATAGTATGTATGTTGGCATTAATAGGTACAGAAATTGGAAACTGGAAGTAAACCTGCACATGTTCCTTACATGAATGAATTTCCTCGCTACCCGGACTGTTTTGACTAAAACGGTTCACTCCCGAAGATATTTATACATTTTGCCTCAATAACTGTACCATGAAATAATTTGAATATTTTAATTGATACTAATGACAGGGTTAACCAAATTAAGCCTAAAATCCATATCAGTAGTAGAATTAGAAGAAGCGGAATTTTGGCATCTGCTAATATGGGTTTCCACGAAAACAAACTAGAAATCTTCTAAATATACTGAGCCATCATATATTATTAATGTAAATTTGACTCCCTAAATTCCCTAATATTTCAAATAGTTTTTATCGGACTGTCATGTCCATGATTGAACTATACACGTGATGTCTGAAAGTGTAATTTCTCTGAGAATTCACATCGTACTTCCTCAAAAATGGAACGGACAAAGGTATTATTCGACCAGCGTTGCCAGATGGTATATTTCTATACCAGATTTCACAAATCTGGTATTTTCAGAAGGTGTCTGGTATGAACATTTTAGATCTGGTATATTTGCCTAAATCTGGTATTTTTCTGGTATTTTCTGACTTGCTGCAAATTTACTGCATTAAGTTCCACCTCTGGAGTTTGAATTCCCTCCAACGTAGGCGGGGATTATATAGATTACCTTCAGAGCGGCGCGACTAGAGGTTTCCCGCCATTTTTGGAACCGCAAGTTTACCGCTTGATAAAATAACCCCAATTTATTTATTAAAATTTAACAACAAGACTTAGTGCAATATGAGCATGAGAGTGATGATCCTCGATTGATTACTGATCAGTGATGAACTGATGATATGGCCTAGGACGAGTGAGGTTGTCGAACCGATCTCTGCGACGCAAGCTCTACCATTTTTGTTTGGTGGTTTTGAATTCTAGAGTGCCACTTGAATTCTGGGGTGCCATTCAATATTTCACTGATCTTGACAATTATCATCCATTCAGGGAACTGGCTGCCTACTGCATCACTTGTCTACTTTGACCTGTCTCCAAAGCATTCGTGGTGCAAGTGTTTTCACAAGTCACCTATATGAAAAACAAGCAACGAAATAAAATTTCAACTAAGGTACTGGAGTCCGTTATTCGGACCAAAAGCTATCTGCTCAGCCGCAACAAGTGATCACACCCGAAATGTTAGATTAATGCAATATGCAAGCATGTACGAAAATAAGCAAAATGAAGATGACCTGTTTCCGTGGCTTGCTCATGTTGAGCGAAGAGGAAAAAGTGCCACAATGACAATGATAAAAAAAAGGAAAAAGTGTCAATGTAATCAAAAACAGGGAAAGGAAAAGTGTCAAAATGTACCAAACAGAGGGGGAAAAATATAACGTGTTCAATTTGGCTAATTATCGTCAAGCCAGATAACTGCAGTGCATAAGATAATTTTTTTTCTAACCAACGTTTCTGACGAATAGTTTTAATAAATTTGGAGGTATTAGTCTGTTTTTGAACGATAGAATTTCTGGTATATTTCTGGTATTTTGAGCTAGGCAATCTGGTATTCTCGCTAAGAAAAAACCTGGCAACACTGTATTCGACTATCATCATGTAGTCAAATGTCAACAAAAACCCAATACAGGTCTTCCATCGTGCCGACCGCGACCTTTTTTCTCCGTAAAAGTTATTGTAGAACTATATTTACGACATGGAAACCCTAAGGTAAAGAGATCAAGAAATAATATAGTTATTGTACCTATGTTTGCTTGCAGACTTTTTAATCTCGTACTTATCAATAACAGTTCACAAGACAACGACCACCGACCACCGTTAGATTTTCGATTCTATTACTAGTAGTATTAGGGATTTCGATTTTCCGTATCATTATGAAATACTTTGAAAAGCTGATGAGGTCATATTATCATTATGATTGAAGATGCATCGGATTGTCATTGTGGGGATGATATCCAACGACCAAGGGAGTCGACCATTTCTTTTTCACGTTAAGGTACCTACGAACCTACCATTGATTCGTCAGATTTGATACTATTGTTTGTTATTTGTAGTTATTATCAAACAATATTTACATTATTGCACAATTTATTTTCTATGAGGGTTTATTACTTACTAAATTAATTTGTATTAGCTATTATATCATGAAATTAAAGAGGCACAAGAAATTTGTAGGTACTCTTTTCCCTATATATTCAACATTTTCTTACTTTTTTAATAGTTTCCTATGCAACAAATTCATTTAGGCTAATTTTGTAATTTGTAAACCAATGAATAAATGTAAAAATGAACCAATTAAAAATTTTTTATGTAATTTATCAATTGGCTAAGGCATTTGCATGAGTTTTACTATGAAAATTAGGGAAATGTTACATTTTTGTCTGCAAAATTTTTTAATTTATATAAAATAATAGTTTTTACTTTTTACCAAGAATTATAGATAAATAAATAAAGTTAGAAAAATTTATTTAATTATATGATTTGTTCCAAATTTTAGTCAATATCTATCATATCATTGTATTCAATAATGCTGGTATCCTTGACACTTTATTTTACTGATCTTCACTAACTACCAGAAAACTGAGAGAAGAAAGTGTCTAAAAAAGTCTCCAGTTTGCAACCAGTCTTTCACAATTTTGTATCCTTATGCAACACAGCTATGCCTATGCACATATGTGCACTTGAGAGTTGAGACCTAACATATGTTCAGTCTTCAGAGATCAGATTTCAGAGTTAGATGCTAGTGGGGCCACTTGCTTTGTGCAATGGTCTGTGCCAATTGATCAGATTGTGATCATCCTGGACAGTCAATTGACTACAAAAAGCTAATTTAGCTAGAAGAATTTCCCAAAAACCAAACTCTTCTTTAATGTAGGGTATATATTGGTGGAATTATGTAATGTATTTAAAAAATATTTGTGTTTCTTTTTATAAATATTTTTGTACAAATTCAGATGATCTAAAATAGTTAAATTATGTCAATTCAGTAGAAACCTAGTATTAAATAAAGAGCTAATCTTTGACTCTACTGTGCAGGATAAAATGTATTACTTGGAATGTTCAAACCTCATGGCCGGAAGAAGATATGTCTACTCTCCTTGGACTGAAAGATGTGAAGCAAAACATGACAAGTGTCAAGAAATGCACTCCTCCAGCTTTGCCTGATATCTACATCATCAGGTAAGAAGCTCTTATTAATTATTATATTTATTAACAGTTTTCAATCAAGCTTCAACTATTTAAAAACATTTAATGTAATCTTTCACACTCAATTTGGATGCTCCTTAAAGATAATAAAATCAGCTTGTAGAAATATAATCCTGTTTAATGTCCAGAAATATACGTTTCCACCTTTCTGACTATAGTAAATAATTGGGCTGCTCATGTGACCTGATGGTTTGCTGAAAAAATGTGACCCTGGCCCCCTAAGTTGATGTATTGGTGTTCTGTTTAGAGCAGAACATCTCTCAAAAACAGTTGGAAATAAAGTTTCTATTTGAGTTTAGCATATATTCATAGTTTCACTCAAAATATATGTATAAATCTTGAGCATGGTAAATTTGATAGTTCATGTTGCAGAATTATAGATAATTCAGGTATCTTAGGACCGAAACATAACTGGACTGACACATTGCATCAGTTTGCAGGAGGTAAAGTCACAACCACAAAATGTTGTGCTGGATATGTTTTTTGAGGAGCCCTGGACCAAGCAGTTTTTGGATGATCTCAGCGCCCACAATTATGTCAGAATTGCTGGGGAGCGTCTACAGGTCAGTCTTATCTATTGTGTTGGGCTCAGTATAATTTTAATTTCTTCATTATTTCTATAGTTTTTGTACATCTTTTAAAATGTATAAAATTAATTATAGACTCAAAGGAGTTTTAATTAAAGCATAACTATTTTCTCATAGTCTGCAGTTATGGCTCATTTTCCTATAAATCTTCAAATGTCTCTTCATTCATCTTTTGACATCATTGAAATTTTTGTTACTTTCAACAAATTTATTTAGAACTAGTTTCTATGAACACAATCCACCAAAATAAAGCAATGTCCTGAAAATGATCCAGAATTACAACCATCAAAATTCATTCACTTGGGCTTGAATTTATTTTTACATTATTTTATCCCATTATTGCCTGATTTAATTCTGAGTATAAATTCAATGTTTTCTTTTTTGCTTTGCAATAACTATACTCTTCTATCATGTAATTGACAAATATTACTTCTTAATTAAGCAACATAATTAAGAATACTTTATATTTATTCTTCACAGGAGTAGAAAAGCAATATAAATGCTCATGTATATCTTTTGCACAATGATCATTGCTAAAGAAATCTAATGAAAATGTTTAAAACTATGAAAGTGATTTAAAGATTTATTTTAATGCGTGTGCTATGACTGTGCCTTATAGAAAATCAACTAATGCTATCAATAAATCTTACTTGAAATAAGTGCCTAGAATTTGCCATAGGTATATCTTTTTGATGATATAAGAGTGTATATTTTATTCAAGCATGTTTGTTACTGAGGCTTGAAGGATTTGTCTTCACTGGATTGTTCATTAAAATGTCTTAGTATCTCCCATAGTGTAAATGTAATATTTTCACTTAATTTTGTAGGATATTTTGGCTTGCCTATATTGAGTTGGTATCTAAATAAATTGACATCGTTTTTATCCTGTCAGGGTTGTGTTCTGAACATCATTGTCAAGAAAGAGCTTGTAGCTCAGCTGCGTGACATCCACACCTCCGTCACAAGAACAGGTTTTGGGGGCCTTTGGGTGAGAATTTACCCAGTCTGCAGTATAATGAATCTATTTAATTCAACATTGTTAATACACACATTTAACTATTGTATATTACAGAATCTACTGATGAAGATTTTCTACTGACGTTTTTTCTGTGGGTTCAGATTAGTGCCAGGCTGCTTTGAAGATTTTTTTGTAGTTGCTTACTTTTTTAATTAAAAATATTACATTATTACTCTATCATTTGTCAAATAAGTACTGTTGTATTAACTGACAGCACTGGTGAGGACTGGTAACGACACTAGTAAGACAACACTCGCTTTTTTTTTGTTACTGGTAAGATTGTTTTGTTGCACAAGAAACAAGTAGCATGCATTTAAAATAATTAGATAGCTTCAACAATTTCGTGTACAGTTGTTGCTTTCCTTGTCAAAGAATAACGTTAACATTAATTTTACAGGGAAACAAAGGAGGCGTGAGTGTTCGCTTCAGCGTAGGAGGATGTTCTGTGTGCTCTGTCAACTGCCACCTTGCAGCACATGACGGAGGTTACAGTGAGCGAGTCCTGCAGTACAACACCATCCTGCATAGCACCACCTTCCCTCAGTGCTCTCCCACAACTTCTATACTCTACCATGAGTAATCCTTAATCTTTTATTAAGGCTATTATTTCATACTGCCTATAGTCATATGAGTAATTCTTTGAGTCAGCTAAAAGTGGCATGTTAAAAGTTGCTCCTATTCAATGAACCCCCCACTCCAAAATTTTTTAGTTTTTCCTCCAGTATATTTTTTTACAGATGATTTAACCCATATATTCTTATTTCCTTTCATGTTGATTTAGAGATATAACATCCATCAATATTGCCCATTCATTGCTCAAATAACCTATAAGTTCATGTTGCAGTTATGTCTTCTGGATGGGAGACCTGAACTTCCGCCTAGCCTCCAGTATCTCTGGTGAAGAAATTGCCAGGCTGGTGAGCAAGGGCAGCTTGGAAGAGCTCTATGAACTGGACGAGCTGAAGAAAGCGCAGTCTGCCAGGGACGCTTTTGAGCCTCTCACTGAAGCTCCTCTCACTTTCCCGCCCACATACAAATACAAGGAAAACCACGTGTCTGATTATGACTTGAGGTGGGTGATGTTTGTGGATATAATCAAAAACTACATTCATTCACACCTGTTACACATGGATGAAACCTATTTATATTTAAATCCATATTTATTTTCCTCGAACTTCACTTGATCTGTGTAATCGAAATCTTTGTTTAGTTTTTTTCATTAATCACGTTACCATTTGTTACCAAGCCAGAATTTTGGGCAAAATTCTCAACATGTTCATAATTATCAGTGAAAATGATAAACAAATATTGTTTAGGAAACTTGGTTATGGAATTCCTACCGTAGCCTCTCTAATTTTTTTAATTGACTGTGTGTTGTTTGTGTCAGACTCTTGAATATTAAATCCCTAACGAGATTATTATTATTAAGAATACTCGCCACTCGGGATACACATTCAATCAAAGTATCCTATGTGGTGCCCAGGGCCCTACAGCCGGCGGCCTGCGTGGACAGACAGAATCGTGCACCAGGTTTTGTTTTAATTGAATGTGTGTTGTTTGTGTTCGACTCTTGAATATTACTTGAAGTATCCTATGTGCTGCCCTACAGCCGGCGGCCTGCGTGGACAGACAGAATCCTGCACCAGGTTTTGTTTTAATTGAATGTGGGTTGTTTTTGTCCGACTCTTGAATATTACTTGAAGTATCCTATGTGCTGCCCTACAGCCGGCGGCCTGCGTGGACAGACAGAATCCTGCACCAGGTTTTGCCCGACGCCTACGAGCACGTGAAGCTCAGCGCCGAGCAGACGAGCTACAGCGCCCTGCAGCAATACAGGCAGAGCGACCACAAGCCTGTCATCGCCGAGTACTTAATTAAGGTAGCAATACGAACGGCATTTATATACACACTTGCTGTAAACGCTACATTTTTTATTAAACATAACTATAGGTATCAGTAAAAGTACTCCAAAGAAATCTATAACATAATTCATTCTGGTGTTATCTACTCTCTCAACGATGAAAATTTGTTTCTGTTTATTGGGCATTGCATTAATGTGCTAATCAGTCCTAATATATTTGTGTCATCAGCTTATAAGACACCCGTAATTTTGTTAACATTACTTGTTATGAATATATGATTCCATTACACCAGCGTAAGACACTGAGATTATTTTCTGCAGTAATCAAATGAACAGAAGCTTTAACTAAATAAGAACACCTTCTTACTTAGTTGTACCGTTGTTGTCTTATTGTCTTATTTAGATGTTTATAAGAACACCTTCTTACTTAGTTGTACCGTTGTTGTCTTATTGTCTTATTTAGTTGTTTATAAGAACACCTTCTTTAGTTGTACCGTTGTTATCTTATTTATTTGTTCACTTGTACGGTTGTGATGACAGGTGTTCAGCGACCACAGGGAGCGCTGCGTGCGTCTACAGCCCACCGGCGACTGGCGTGTGTGCGAGGGCGGCACGGCCACCGTCAGCCTCGACAGCGACGTCGTCGTCTCTAACTCTGACTATATCGCGCTTTTTAAAGTAGGCCTCTTTTATAACTTATCATTGACTCCTGTTTACTCAGCTGATGTTATCGGTTAAATTTGTGCATAAGAGTCACTTTTTCATTGCAGTTTAATTCGGTATACATTGCCATTGTCCTTTGAATGATGGTTATTGAGACACTTTAGTTGCTGCGTCTTGTTTGCACCGCCATTTCCAATGTATTCTAAAATTTTCGTATTTGTAACTTTATTATCTTCAGCAGGTCATATACCATATGTTTGGTCCGGCGCTGTTACAAAATTTATAACATACATATAATTAATTTTTGGAAATGTGTAGTTGTGAATTGATATGGTTGTTTTTGTTAGGGGATTTCTAAGTAGGGCTTGTGACAAATTTTTATGACAAATTCATAGATAACTTTTCAGAATTTGCAGCACAAATATCTCAAATTGAAAATCCTTTTGTGTAGTTTGTGATGAGCTAATTTTTAGGGACTTCATTTCTGATCTACTTGTAAACGTCTCACGGTTATAGCAAAACATGTGTCATTAATCCATATGTTTTTCAGGATAATTTCTGTAACATGGAACAGTACATAACTTACTGCTACTTGCCCGAGATAAAGGATCAGTCTGGACCCGCCACGTTCACCGTCAGTATGAATATGTGCTATTCGTAGTTTAAACTTAACTCTTGTTTTGAAGATGGATAACCAGCTTTATACCTACGATTTCCATGCAAAAAGAAAATAATAATAACTCGAGCGATAAAAACGTATACTACATTAGCTCCAAAATTCATGCCTTCCAAGTTGAAAAAATTCTCAGTTTCTCCGGTGCAAAATTTTCTGAATGGCGTTGTTTGGAAACTCTTATTGCACTGTCGAATGAAGTCTAGTAGCACTGTATCCTATGTGTGGCTTGTGTTCCCTGACCACTAAATTTCCATTTTAATGTAGGTTGCGCTGCAAGATGATCTCATCCATGACGCGGGCATGTACAGACTCGTGTACGTGTCTCGCCTGTACAACTGCTACCTCGGCATGAGCGACGCCTTCGCTGTTCAACTGTCCCCACAGCTGATGCCTGCGCAGTCTCGCCTCGGAACTGCGTGAGTGTCTTCTGATGCCTGCGCAGCCTCGCCCCTGAACTGCGTGAGTGTCTTCTGATGCCTGCGCAGCCTCGCCCCTGAACTGCGTGAGCGTCTTCTGATGCCTGCGCAGCCTGGTGCCGCGTCCACGTGTCTTCCGAAACCGACGCCCTCTCGTGGCGCATCAGCATAAATGTCTCCGGCAGCGTGAGCAGCATCTTGCCGCACCTACGTGGATGTCTCTTGTGATCTTTGTAGCTTCGCGTCTGAGCTGCTTGACTAACAACTCCGTTTTTAGCGCATTTTCTCATTTATGGAAAAAATGCACTATTGTGCTCGCCATGTCCGTCTGTCTGTCCGTGACCTCAAGTTTTCGTCGACGAGAAAATGCGCTCTCTGTCCCTCACTGCTGTGAGTACTGAGTTATATTTTTGCAATTTATGCCGCTGTACTGGACTTCTACTTGTACAGGCTTGGGTCATAGCGAAGGCTTTTCCCACCTTGTTTCTGTGAAAGCCTGGGTAATTGCAGTTGTTTGTGGAGGGGCCTTATGTAGCCGTGCACCGAAATCTAGTTTCGTTCCCCGAAATCAAATTTATTTATAAGTGCGAATCTATACAACGTATCTATACAACGCTCGTATTTTGGGGAGTCTGGAAAACTCGCCTGTGCCAGTAGTTGTTTAGATTTTTTTGCCTCAAATAACAATAGTCAACTACGAAATATTAGGTTTTATTGGCAGTTATTACAAAAATCGTTTATTTTGTTTTTTAATTTTGCCTACTATTGCAAATTTTTATTAATATTTAAGAGTTGTCATATACAAAAAAAAACTAATCACTTAGTTCCCGAGTTACTTCTCAGTCTAAGTAAATTTTTTATTTTAATTATTTGTGACGATGTACATGTACTTTGTTTCATGCATGTTATGAATTTAAACCGGCCACGTTGCGGTGTTCTATAGTTTTTTGGCCCAAGTCTTTTTAACTAATCAAGTTTGCGCTCCTTTGTTTAAACTCTAATATATGACATTACACGCGTCACAAAAAATGTGACATGACACACATCACAAAAATGTAACTTGATTCTCGTGGCACATCAGGAAATGTGACCGTTTTATTAGCTTTATTTCGTCAACTTTGACGTAGTGCGCAGTTAATATTGTCAGTGCCATCGTGTGCAATCATCAGATGGGATACTTGTTTAATTAGGCAGTAAGTTCATTAAGTTGATATTAAATTTCCAGTCATTCATTACCCAAATTAGAACGTCGTATCTGACTTTTATTAAGGACCATTTGCAAGCTCAAAACAAATGTTAATTTAAAGTTAGTTCAGTAATCTTTGTTCGGCGTTTAGATATTTCCATGTACCACTCGCCTGGAGAATTTGTTCAGCTACATTAAATATAGAGGCACCAATCATTGAACTATTGGCTAATAATTTTTTCGGCTCAATCTACGCTTTAGAAATGTTTTCTCTGTTACATTAGTTCCTGGATAATGAGCTGATCCAGCTTTTTCATTTATATCAACGCTCTAGCGGCCTAGCCAAACTTGATTCCGTAAACTCGACCTGCTAGAGTAGTAGTCATATCCTCAGTCTGCCTAAAACACAAGTTAACAAGGAAGTTAAAAGCAAAGTGAACGCCAAATAAATTCACCATATCGATTTTGAAAAAGTTTCCGAGTCCAGCTCCATCGTCATCGTGAATATACTTGTCGTTACAAAAATTACCATCAATAAGCTTTTACAAAATTAAAGGACTTGAAAAACTTTTCGTTCTCTTTGCTTTTAAATTCCTGCTTGAGTAGATTATGGCGTCCTGCTAACTTGCAAGTCACAATTTGCGAAAATTTTTCAATCATCGGTGCTCGACGCTTAAACATCTTTGAAAGTTTTAGCCTCTTCACTTTGAATTTAATTTAATTTAGCATTCTTTCGTTACGTTTGCATATGTCATGTGTTACAGTTTCTAAAATTAAAAATAACAGAAATTGTAATGACCATTTAAAACTTGTGATCAGACATTCGTTTTTGGTCGGATTCGTTTCTTGGGTAGTCAATTCTGCATGAGGGACGATATCAATGGTTGGCACAACGAATTATTTAGCCCTCTACCGCCTGACATGAGTAACCGGAGCAATATTGCCACAAGCCAACTTCTCAAAAAGATATGTTCTAGTGAGCGCAAAATGACTTGCACTGATGGTTGCCGCCACGTCGGACAACTTTAAAATGTTCTCTGTTGCGTACAAACGTCCTCAGGTTGCTACACTCTATAGTTTATGAATAATTTAATTTGAAGGTTATGTTCCCGGAGAGTGACATACGGCGGTAGAGGGTTAACAGGAAGATATGGCTCTACTGAAAATATTACCATCGCTGCCTTATAAAATAACTTCTAGCCGCTACTGTTCGTCTTGTATGCATTCTATGAGACAGATATACCCTGAGCCGAACATTCTGCCGAGCAAACTAAAACACTTGAGAGACAATTCTTCCCTCGCTCTTTTGATTTACTTGTAATTACTGGTGAGATGGATCTTGCATTTTGATTTATTAACTGTGCACTGCTTTTGTCTGTTCCATTGAATCGCAATACGATTAATTCTATATTAATTGCATAGTGAGCACTGGTGACGATATCGCACTTGTACTGGTGACGATATCGCACTTGTACTGGTGAAGATATCGCACTTGTACTGGTGACGATATCGCACTTGTACTTATGACGATATCGCACTTGTACTGGTGAAGATATCGTACTTGTACTGGTGAAGATATCGCACTTGTACTGGTGACGATATCGCACTTGTACTGGTGACGATATCGCACTTGTACTGGTGAAGATATCGCACTTGTACTGGTGACGATATCGCACTTGTACTGGTGAAGACATCGCACTTGTACTGGTGACGATATCGCAGTTGTACTGGTGACGATATCGCAGTTGTATTGGTGACGATATCGCACTTGTACTGGTGACGAGATCGAACAGCAACCCAGCAAGCCGTGCGTTCAAGTTTAGATGAAGATCCTGTGCAATTTATTGCTTATGCAACTCTTAAAATATCGCTTTCTGGTTTGTTGTTCTTCTGTTATGTCGATTGATCGACTCACGATCCTTTCCGCTTGTGAATATGCGCTGAATAGTATTCTGTTTCAAATAGACTATAAATAATGACATTATCAAACTTATACAATGTTAGATATACGCGCTACAACTGCATGAAAATTTCTGGTCTTAATTTTTGAAGGATCTCATTGTAGCAACGGCTATATTCATCTTCGTAATAATTTAGCTCCTATTAGCTGATGTGCAATACTGATAGTTCGCTTTACCTGAGTACGATGAAACACTCTGTAGTGGTCATGAACCCCCATCATCTCGAGGACAATTTTTCTGCTGATTTTTTTTAGTTTTTGTCGAACTATGACTATGAGAACACATTTCTGGTTCATCTTTTGTGTTAGTTTGCAATTTTATATTCATATGTCATAGCATATTTTGTAATAAAACATTCGGCTCCCTCGTTTCTAGTCTGAGGTATCTAGCGCCTCCATAAATTGTATGTGAGCTGCATCGTGCTTTCTTGACCAAATTTCTCTGACGTGATTCCCCAACAATAATTTATCAAAGATTTTTACGTTACTGATACAATACCTGTGTGACTCATGGTTGTGCATGCAGTTCGCGTATTGACATTATTTTGGTTTTGTTTTTGTGGGAGACTTGTAGCCAAATGATTATTATTATTTGTTGCATTGTGTGGACATATACTTTTTATATACGTTTTTCTGATGTATGATTGAATGTATGCATAATAATTTTGAGGCTAAGAGCCTAAATTAAGAGTATAATATTTAAATATAGGTACCTAAGTTTTGGTCATAAGAATGTCACTAGACGCAAAGAATTGAAAGAACATCGTTTGCATTGTGTTAGAAGTAATGGTTCGTTATGTTCGTTTTAGCTTTATCTCTATATGTATGACTTATTATATCATTGAATTCATGAATACTGATTGTTAGCTTGCATATATTTTCTTCGAATGTCGATCATCCTGACGCATCATTAAATGTCAACTAGATGAATACATGAAGTTAATTATTGTTGATTACAAGAAAATCAATAAATATTTTTGGGATGCTTCTTTTTGTCTTTTTGTGTAGGTTCAATAAGACTTGGACGCGTGCGTTTTATCCCACATTGATAGTTACTCAAATCGAAATTATGTATCAATCAATAGTCTACATGCCATGTATAAAAAATGAAAATTCCACGTGAATTTTCTTCATATTAGATAAGTTGCCACAAGCATATCATGATCTTTGCCATTTGCACATTTAGTTACGAATTACAACGCTGTTCGAGTTGGGATTGTACTTCGGTACTCATTGTTTCATTTCTACAAGTGACACGACTTAAACATGACCTCACGTTCTCCTCGTCAAATGAAAAACAAATCAGCTGTAACCAAGTCTGACACTGTGGCCTATACAACTAAAGCTACTGAACTGTATTTACTGTAGCTAAGCTAAAGCTTCGCTATTCCCGTTATTCAATGAGATTAAGATATTTATAAAATATTCAGCACCTTTATTCAAGTTATTGAAGGTTTAATATGTGCACTGTGACTGTGCACCCACTTGCAATGTGGTTCATCTGCTGGCACTTGTAACACCTAAGTCAGTAAGTGGGGCCTTAACAAAAGGTCTCACCGGATATCGCAAACTGTTTTAGTAGCTAAACTAATTGGAATATTGCAAAACTAAATATAGTGGCGTAAATGTTAACATTTTTCCTATCTATGTAGTATAGTATAGTATCTTTGGCATTAAATAAATAGGCCTGGATAGTGGATACTCAGGATACTGAGGATAGGCCTGTCGCCGATTCTTGTACTTTTCTTGACTGGACTGGCCTTACGGACGGTAGATTTAAAATCGCTTCTAGATATCAGATGTTCCGTAGGGTACTACGAGGCATTTTAAGACTGAACATATGCTCAAGCATCATGCATGGCCTTGTCTAGTCTGTTCTTAAACTCGTTCATACTCGGACCATACCCAGGATGGTGCCGTTTTCCGCGGATTAATCCGGCGTAAACGAGACTCCAAGCCCTTCTACTGGCGTACAACGCGGCGTACAAAGAGCTAAAATAACGTTATTGGCGCACACGCCCGGCGTACGTCCGCATCTGGCTTGTCTCGACCTCGACGTAAGTCTGCATCTGGGCGATCTGGCTTGTCCTGACGTACCGTACGTCCGCATCTGGCTTGCCTTGGTGTACGTTTGCATCTGGGTGATCTGGCTTGTCCTGACGTA